AGTTCTTCTGCATGCAAAACATGTGTGCTGCCTGTGAACCACAGCCCCTAGTATTTTATGGATTTTGATGTGTTTGCAGCCAAACAGGCAAGCACAGACCAAAGGTCAGCATTCCAATCCAAAATGTCAGAGCCACACACTACCCGTGGTCCTTTTCTCTGAGCATATGCAAATTGATAATAATGTTCTGCAAATAGATAATAATGCAGTACTGTCAGCATCTATGACTGTGCACAGTGCTAAAGAATAACTCAGAACCTCCAAGTTCTGTATACAGAACTTTACTACAGAGTATTTACAGTACTATATACTAACCGATAACTATCCAACCAACCATCCACTAACAGCAACCCACACAGAACATAGGCCATACCCATATTTATACACTTTGTCCATCTCACACAGGTGTCTGAAATAGTCCTCCTGCATCAGTCACTTGCATTATGTCTGCTGTGTCATCCTGGGCATATTCTATATGGTGTGATTGATGACACCACATGTCAATCACCATGCTGCAAACTTTCACTTAGGTTGAATTATCCAGCATCCATATTCTGTACAGTGAAATTGAATTCCATTTTTTATATACACTGACACAAGAATACAAAAAGACATTCATGTGGGAGAAGTTATGTTCCTGGATCCAAAACCTCCTCATGAATTCTACACAACTGGAGGAGTCTGTTTTTATAATATAGATCAGGGGTAAGCAACCTTTTTGAGCCAGGGGTCGGGTTGCTGTCCCTCAGACAATTGGGGGGCCGAAGCAAAAAGAAAAAAATGAAAAAAAATGCATGCACACTCTCTCAGCCCCAGAAAAGCCACGGCAAAACCCCTGTGGAGATTTTGCCAAGAAAACCCCAGGAACAAGTAATAACAACAGTAATCAATATCATCATGGCAGGAAGCGGTGGGGGTGGTGGCGGTGGCGGCAGGACCAGCCTAGGACCAGTCGAAAGGCCTCAGCGGGCCGCATCCAACCCCCGGGCCGTAGGTTGCCTACCCCTGATATAGATAGACATATTACCACTAGTTTTTTTGCACTTAGCTCAGCTAAAGCTGTACCTGTCCATGTTAGCATATCCTACACCCCTCTCACTGGATATGTGGGTCATACTTGGTATCTAGCATCAGGTATGTTTTTAGAGGTCACAATGACCTGTGGAGACTAGGAAGTTATATGTGTAAAGAGTCACGCTGACTTAAGGATATGCAAGAGATCTAGATGGTACTAAAATGAACACTAAATGGATTTGCTGATCACTACATCTCCCCAAGCTCTTTGCATTTCCTCTCACAATGAAGACAAAGGGAATCCCATTGCAGAACAATCAGAGAACATACCTCTCACCTCACCTCATGCTGTATTCCTATTCACTCTTCCTGTCTGACCATCCAGGGATTGTCTCAAACCTCATCAATGTTTTATAACTCTGCAGTTAAAGCCATCAGCTGTTCTGGATCGCTTTTGTGAATTCCATGGGAAAATCACCAATGCCTCTGTTACATCATGTGGTAGCATCAATCACCCCTCGAAGGTATGAAATGGGATATAAATATTTGCCCCAGGTCTATCCATGGGTGTACACAAGAGCCCCACTCACTCTCTCTGTGACTCTGAGCCATTCTCCATTTTCCATGAACTATGTTCAGTTCTGAGAATTATCGGCCTTGCCAATTCCCAATTTCTCTTTATCCAACCTTCCACACCTTTCTTTCAGATAGCCTCGTATGGGTCTCAAGGTTACATTGGTTTTGTATGTTTATGTGCACCTTTGCACATTTCTAAATAAAACTTTTTTGTTTACTGAAACTGAGTGCTCTCTGCAGTTAGCACTAGCATACACAAGTGAAAAGATCCCCGAGGTTACCCTCCTCTCGTAGGCCTCCTTTTGAACTATAATTTCCCCAAAATTTCAATGAGATGCCAGCATTGCTGATGGAGGACTCCCAACATACCCCCCCTCATTTTTTAGGGTATCAGGCATCTGGCTACAATACAGCAGCATACTGCAAATCACTGGACTCAGTGTAATTTAGTTACAAACAACCTTTGAGATCATTCGAGGCACACATCTTGCTTTCAGGACTGGTAAAAAACATGCTTGATTTGATTTTGCTGCCTGTGCTCTTAAGGACGGGTAGGCGTGTATGTGCCTTCAAGTCGAGTTATGGTGTAATAACAACTAAAAAGCATAAAGTAAAATTTGAGCTATTCTATTTATAGGTTGTGGCTATAATACACATGTAGTGTAGTTTACAATTGAGAAATTATGACCTTTTAAAATTTGTGCCATCATTCTTTGCTGCCAGCATTCTGTGGCATTCCTGGGAGTTGATATAGCTAAGTCCTTGCCAGGGAGAAAAAGGAAAGCAGTTTCTAGGCAGCCATTTTGAGTGGTTGAGTGCTTAATTTAAAAAAAAAACCCACTTGGGAGAGTGTGTTTGTTGCTGTGGGGATGGGTCTTCTGTGAGTCACATCTGTGAGTCACTAGGGGGTGGAGCTAGCCACCTAACTCTATATAACTCCTCCCAGGGGCATTTTTTTCATAGACAAGGGAAGTATAGCACAAATAGAAGGGAAATTTTGTTTTAGAGCTCCTTTTTTAAAAAAATCACTTTTTTAAAAAGGGCTTGGTGGGTGGGGTTTGCTCAGATGAAGTAAATCAGAGACTTGCCTCCAGAACAAACTAGCAGCCAGGAGCTCTCTATAGAGTTATAACCCAGTTAATTGAGCTCACTGACAGAACTTAGAGAAAAAGCCAAGCCAACAGGGGCCCTTTACGTGTTTATTTACCAGGGGGCTTTTTGAAGGGAAGCCCATATTCCTGTTTCAGTGCTTGCTTAAGATTTTCAATATGGATACTGAGGGAGCTGCTATAGTCACCTGCAACACTTGTGGGATGTTTGTCTTCTTGCCTAGTGATGTGGGGAATTTCACCGGCACCAAGTGCAAGTTGGTAGCCCTCTTGGAAGAGAAAGTCCAGCAGCTGGAGGCCCAAGTAGCTACACTTCAGCATCTTAGGGAGCAAGAGGTTTTCCTGGACAGAACCGAATGAACAGTCTTGGACGGGGACCACACAGAGGAAGTTGCTGGGGAGGAGGTCACTTCACACACACAGGAGGTGGCCAGCTGAAGGAATATCACACACAGAAGTAGGGAAATCAGGGATCATTCTGGGAGCTGGCAGCTACAGAATCGTTTTCAAGCTCTCTCCCTTATCAGGGATGATGAGAAAGAGCAGCAGGGACAGCGTAGGGAACCCTGAGAGTACCATCGCAGGGAACAGCCACTGCTAAGCCTCGGAGGAAGCATGTGGGAGGGGGGCTTCTTGCTGAGAGGTACAGAAGCAGTGGTTTGTGGGCCTGACAACATCTCTTGGGAGGTGTGTTGTCTCCCTGGGGCAAAAATCCATGATGTGACAGTGAAGCTGACAAGACTTGTCAAGCCTACTGACCATTACTCCTTCCTTTTGGTCCATGTGGGAACCAATGATACTGCAAGGCATAGCCTTCAGAATATCAGAAGGGATTATGAGGCTTTGGGTAGAAAGCTGAAAAAACTGGATGCACAGGTTGTTATCTCATCTCTTCTCCCAATTGACGGGCATGGTCCAAAAAGGGAGAGGAAGATAGCAGATGTGAATAATTGGCTCTGTAGATGGTGCCACCAAGAACTATTTGGATTATTGGATCATGGGTTACGTTTCCATGAAGGTGGACTTCTGGCAAGAGATGGGTTGCATCTCACATCAGTTGGCAGAAACGTTTTCGCCAATAGTCTCAAAAATTTGATCAGGAGGGCTTAAACTGAAGTGGGAGAGGGAGTTGGTATCTTGGAAGGCAAGAGTACATCATGGCCTGGAGATAATAGTCAAAGTGTTATTGAGGGAACAAGGCAAATGATACAAGGATCCAACAGTGGGAGGGGAAAAACTATACACAGGCAGCTGGGGGGGAGAGGACCCATGGTCTTAGATGTCTATATACTAATGTACAGAGCATGGGAAATAAGCAAGATGAACTTGAACTCCTACCCCAACAAAGCAAATATGATATATTCATGAGTCTCATGATTGGAATGTAGGAATAGAAGAGTATAAACTTTTTAAGAGAAACAGGCCAAACAGAAAGGAGGAAGAATAGCATTATATGTCAGGGATATTTACACCTGTGAAGAGATCCAGGACTTAAATCTGGATGAGCATCTGGATAAAAATTAAAGGGAAGGAAATAACAGGGAAGTTATTGTGGGAGTCTA